CTTCAGAGTGCAGGCACTGTACTTGTCACCTTCAGGACACAAGTTTTGCTGACTGGTTTCCTTGAATAGCTTCATAAATGCTACCTTACTCACACTCCACGTGATGTCACAGAATTTGTTGGATGTTCAAGCCTCTAGCGCTTAGTCTTATTTACTACATCCTTGAAGCCTTCCCAGGAATGATCCCACCTCTCCTTCCCTCAACCCCAGATTTATACGCCCTGTTACACAAATCTGCAATATTTAATTTTCTGAAACTCACTTTGAGAACTTTTCAGGGAACAATGGGAGGTGTGAGGTGAAGAGGAGGCCACGACGAGGTGTCCAGGAGGCCACATGGGATTCCTGCGGACTATACGGCAGCTGGACGTAAACACTGCACCTGTAACACCAGCTTATGCAGTAGCTCACTGTTGAAAATACATTGCAACATACACAGATATGTGCATGTGTGATTGCTTAATTTGCAATGTGTGCATGTGTGTAGGGTAATTAAATATAATCTCTATTTAATTAAGCATATATTACGTAACACACATTACTTGATGTTTGTTGTGTCGTTGTTGATAATAACCAACATAGAGTTGAGGTTGGACAAGGTTGTGTGGAGATCCTGCAGCTCCATGAGGCGAGAGTGAGTGAGGATGAGGAGCCTCGTCGACCACACCATGAGGCGCCCCTTGACGGACCACTTGACGAAGGCGGCGAGGAAGGTTGCCTCGTCACTTATCACTACAATTGTTATGTATGATGACAACTTCCGCAGCTGTTTATGTAGAAATTGTAGTCAATAATCTCTTTAAGCAGTTAGAGATAAGAGGTTTACCAACCTCAACAGTAACTGGCAAAGCTTTAATATTAGTGTGAGTGACCTAGCTCCTATAACATTTCGGTAAGCGAAATGGAAAAAACTTCTACCTAACGTAATAACAAAGTAAACATAATTTTATACCTACCAAACACTGAGCAAACAGCTTACCATCTTAACATTACCAACCAGCAGTGAGAGGTGCTCGTCCCTCTGCTTGAAATTAGAACCATTAATTACTACTTCAAAAATTCCAACACCTCCTGGAAACCGTAAATGGTCTGTTGTCTGAAAGGAAAATTAGGATATATTATGCGAAATTAATATATTGTTTGCATAGTAGGTATATGGACCCAAAATATACTCTACAAGTCTTACTTATAACTTACATTGTTCAATACAGTCATCGCACAAACACTGAAATATGTAGTCTCTTACAGCACAAAATAAACAATAGGTTTTGTGCCTCCCACCACATAGAAAAAATTGGCTTGAGAGCAAGAATGATGATTCAGTACATAAATAGTTGACAAAAAGGAAAGCAAAGTATATAGAAATGTGGAAACACGAATATACTTTCATGAAGAACACGAAAGTGAAGTCGAACACTGGGATACGTCCGAACAATTGCCGTATCTAAATATTATTGATCATTTGTGGGGTCTGTCGGCACAGTAAGTCTGGAACCGATTTCCTCCACCGTCGTCTTTGGAAGAGTTAGAGCAGGTTTTGCTAGAGGAATGGTTCAAAATTTCCCTTGATACTGTTCAAATGCTATATGAATAAGTTCTTTGACGAATTGGTGCTATTTTAGCTCTCAGTGGAGGATCAAGTCCATAATGAAAATAAAAAAGTTGAGTAACAAGGTATTAATATTATTTTGTCACTGAATGTCAGTTTTAAATATTAAACATTCTTTGTGAGGAAAATATTACTGTCGGGTCAAAGTGTGCTGTTGTCGACTACACAACATTTGAGTGATTCCAAGCGAGGATCTAAAAATTGTCCAGGGACGGTGGTTATCCTTGCCCAGGGACGGTGGTTATCCTTGCCCAGGGACGGTGGTTATCCTTGCCCAGGGACGGTGGTTATCCTTGCCCAGGGACGGTAGTTATCCTTGCCTAGGGACGGTGGTTATCCTTGTCTAGTTACTGTGGTTATCCTTGCCCAGGGACGGTGGTTATCCCTGCCCAGGGACGGTGGTTATCCTTGCCTAGGGACGGTGGTTATCCTTGCCCAGGGACGGTGGTTATCCTTGCCTTGGGACGGTGGTTATCTTTGCTCAAGACTGGAGGTTATCCTTCCCCAGGGAAGGGGGGTTATCCTTGTCCAGGAAGGGGGTTTTCCTTGCCAGGTAAAGGGGTTATCCTTTCTATGGGGAAGGGGTTATCCTTGCCCAGGGAGTGAGGATATCCTTGCCCAGGGAAGGGGGTTATCATTGCCCATACTGAAAAAGGGCGGTGATAGCCAGCAGGAGGCGATTTTTTTATGAATTCATGGGTTTTAAATGTAAGGAAACATAGTAATAAAAACAGTAATAAAAATCGTTCCGGAAAGATATCGTTCCAGACGATGGAGCTGAACTCTTCTCCAGGCTGAGGGACTGACCACCTTAATATACTTTTTCTCCAAGGTTGATGGAATGATTACATCATCTTTATTTTATTACTATTGCTCACTCTTTATTTGGCTAAAGAAGTCTACTGTGTAGGCGAAACGTTTCATCAATAAATATACCCAACTGTTGCTCATGTGTCTTAATCTTTACGACTCCGGGGGACTTGATGAGATGAGTAACGATGGTGACTGATTGACACAGCTCTACCTTCATTATTTATGAAAGGCTACATCATGTCATTCTGAGTTGTTTCTTCTCTACCGACTAGTCACCTCAGAGACTCCAGAAAGTATGGTTCACCTTATCATATAACGGTTCACTAAATTCTCCGTGCTCAACTATAGTGTTCCCTGTGGACTGTCATGCGCCTTTCATCAGGACTCAGACTTATTTTATCACAAGTGTCTGTCTGCAGTTTGTGTTGGTGACTGAATCTTCTGCTCCTTCCGTGAATATTTTACTGACGTCACTTGAGATCATTGTGGATCAGAGGCAGTAAGCAGCATCACGGACAGATCCACATCACTTGCTTGATGCTCTTGTATACTTGCATATCTCTGATTAACTTTCGCAATTTGTTTTGCTTTTTCACTTTCAATTCATTTAAAAAATACTTCATATCTGTTTGTTTCATATTAAGTAAACTGTAGTTTTCGTCATCTTTAATTCCCCATATGCTTATATTTTCATGGTTTTTAATTGTTTTTCATGTATATTTTACCTACGAATGGATGAGGAATATTAAGGCCGCATTCTATTCACATTCCTTCACACTGTATTACAGCCTTAGTTAACAAAAGTCTTATTCATCAATGAGCACAAAAAAAATGCATTTTCCACATATAACGACAGACGATCAGTGTTTCTACAAACGTACGAAGTGTCTCCCTCTTTTTGTATCTCTGATACCAATTGATGGATACTTATATATGTATTTTGCTTCTTTAATCACTTCTCGTTTAATTTTGGCAGCAGCGATTACAATCCTATCTGCTTCTTGTGTTGAATTTACCTCTGAATGCCAATTGTCACTGATAATGAATTCTGCCATATTTCGAAAACAGACCAAATTCTTCTTTCCACTGATTTTAGCAAAATACGGGCAAACACCATAGTGCTCCTGTAGCATCTACTGTAATCTCCTCCTGCTGTAAGCTTCATAATCTGCAATTTGAAGCATTTGTGCGTGAAATTGGACAGGGATATATAACTCGGCTTCAATCTTTCTCAAGCCAGATACATAATGTCTCGAAACAGTCACTCATTTCCTCATGCATTGGTCGACCAACAGGCTTTAAGGTTGGTAAAATACGTCTGAATGCTGGATACCAGCGAAGATTTCTCTCCTCTTCTGCCACCAAACGATACGTCCTTAATGTAGAGTTTGAATCTCATTTGTCCGTGAGTCAGCCCAATTATAGTTTTGTTCCATAATAGGATTTCTAGTGGGAATTCTTCCCGCAAGTAATAAAAGCTGGCTTTATTGAATCCCGACTCTCGAGAGTCCGGGGGAAAATATTGCCCAAATCTGGGCGGAAATTGGGAAGATTGCCTTGGGTCAAGAATATTCACAACACAAAATAAGCAGTTTTCTCTCCACCTAAATTTGTCGTCAATGGGAGACCTCATTCGCTTATTATATTGTCCATCATTGGAGCTCCTTCGATTATCTGTGTATATTTCTTCTGGAAAATTGCATGTACGAGAATCTTACCCACTGGGGAGGCGGGTAACGTAACTAAGCAGTTCACTGTCTTCGCTACTTTGGCTGTTCTTATTAAGGGACGCAGCCAGGCCCTTTCTGCCTACTATTATTGGCTCCTGATTTTCGTAATGCTTAGGCAAATAACAGTTAGCAGCAAATGAGACATATACATTAACACATGCACCAGCCTCTGGTTGTTGTTTTTCAGTCTTCGAAATGTTCGGTTCGCATCCCATTCACACTCCCCACAAATCCTCAAAATAGAAAAAAAAATTTATGCTGTCTCGTTTACATGACAATTCTTGCATGATTTATTTAGCATTTCATTACTGCATTAAGAAACTTTAGTGGTTATAAATGTGACTGAAAAACGTGTTGAAAAGAAACAACATAGCAACTAAAGGTCCTTAGAATTTTAAACCAATATAATTTTTTTTGTTTATAAAACGAATTGATGTGGTCTTTGAGAGCGATTCAGGACATATTTCCTCACCAAAATTATATGCATGATTTTTTTTCAAGGTTCGATCTAAATTCTGGTCTCTCCTGACAGAATTCAAATATTTTGATTGACTTATCAGGAAGTCACAACAAACTCGTTTCTTCAGATTTTTCGAGAGATTTTTCCTGGTGAAAAATTATGAATAACCACAATTACTCATTTCAGTTATTGTTCTACTTTATGCTAGGTCTTGCTATTGTCGGTTTATATATTACATTATAAATGGCTTTTTATTAGAAAAAAATTACTCAGTACTGGATTTCTAATCTTACGCTCAACATAATATATCACAATACTGAAATTATTTCTGCTGAAAATATTTTCTGGACAGATAATGTATAATGTAAAGGCCTGAGACACTTACCATGAAGATAGTGGAGGGTGAGGTAGTGCCGTCCGTAATGAAAATTACAGAGTAGCTGCCATGTTGTGTTGAGGTCAACACAGCCTCCACCACCTGTGTGACCAGCCAAGCCTCCATCACCTGTGTTGAGAGACCAGTCTGCTGCAGGCGCATCATGGACAACTTCATATCCTGTTTACCTGTCAGAAAGATTGAAGATTAAATTCTTATTTTTATGCTATCACATGATTTGGAATCTTAAAAGAAATGACAGTTTTGCTAACTGTCGCCCACTTGTGCGGATATAAAGCAAAAAATGCATCGGATCTCATTCATTCTCCTCCCTTACCCCTCCCCACCTCTCCCGTAGTTAATCACAACCAAGCAAGAACTCATTTAAAATTAAGTTCTCTTTAAAATTTTCTCTTATACGTTTAAAGATATATTTTTTTTTTCATTTACGTTAATGTAAAAACTAATAATTTTGTACCAAAAGTCCCTTAGAAAACTTACTTAACCTTATTTTTTTTTAATATTTTTATTTAAAAGAACACATTACAAAACATAAATAAATAAAAGAATACAATAATGAACCGTTTGCAAATACAATGAACTACCAGCAACCCCATAACATACCCTAAGTGTTACAGTCATATGTGTATTAAAGGATATACCGTCACCTAACAATGAAAAGAACAGGATAACACCTTCTCAGAAAAAAAAAAAACATTAACAAAGTCTAAACCTACACTTCACGCCTGTTATACAGTACACTAAGACCCTCTCGCGCGAAATGCAACAGATGATATGATTCAGCATACGAAGGATTAAATTATACATTGCAAATGTTAAACAAAAGACAAACCTAAACCTACAATAAAATTGCAAAAACATACCACAATAATACTTGCCGCAATAAGCAGGAAACTCTTAACATGAAAATAAAAGCTTAAATTTTATGTTACACTATACCACAAACTCGCCAATTTCTAGTGTAATTACAACAACTAAAAGGGGACCAATGAACATTCACAACGCATTCATACCCAGCTCGAACACACATTTCCACAGATTACAATACACATACCCAAGACTAGTGTGTATTCCACTATAAACCATCACGCAACACATCCACGCCAATCAACCATACACACGTAAGTGACTAAATATGTAATATACCTAAATACATATATCACAGATTACAGAAACCTTATAATAACAAACTTTAGCCTGTAATCCCAAGACCTCATTTTATTATTATAACATCAACGTCTTTCCAACGATTGTTGATCGTGATGCCTGTTGACTTCTACAACTAAATTACACAATTTTTAACTATTTACAAACTAATCCAGACAGCAACATAATATACACACACGAATCATTCATGATCACCTGTTAAATGTTACATAAATTACATTACCTGTAACCATCTCACACTTCAAAATCCGTACATAACAATCATTAATATCGTATTATCGATGCAATATCATAAAACCAAGATCACATCATTGATCTGCCAATAACAAATGATATTAAAGACTAGCGCCAAGGTTTACTGAAACCCAAATAATATCAGGACCTAACTTGTATTTCAAACCCAGCATCATCATGTCTACAAGTATCATTCTTACATAAGGTTCACTGATACATTAGTGATTTATCATATGGGGTAATCATACATTTCATGAAACCTGCTCGCTTGGCATACACTATAATCCTCCAATTAATTAATTACATGTGAAAACCCTATTTCAGTCTTGTTTATACTCCATCAACCTACCATATCCACTTCTACCCAGCATCCAGACATAATTCCTCACCATACCAAGTCCTACAGTCATACCCTCCCAAACGCCAAAGAGACCAGCCACGTCTACCCCTTACGGTATTAAAGCCCATAAATCCCTTACATGAAATCTGCAATATCCCTCCGAAAAAGTCAAAAGCCATTTGCTTCCAGCAATATTCTTATTCTGCTGCTGTGTACCATAGAAAATCGCTGCCAACGCTCTGATCCTCGCTCTTACTGGTAAGTGTCTATAAACCCATGAAATATATACAAAATCCGTAACTAAATATCCCATTGCGTTCTGCACCAGCAACCCCCCCCCCCACATCTAAACTTAACGCTCTCAAGACACTAATTCCCCCAACCCCCACCATACGTAAAACCCTGCTAAACCACACCCTCACTGATTCCAATCTCTCACAAAAATACACTGCATGATACGCCGTCTCGATCTCCCCACACGCACAACGCTCCCTCCCCCCCTTGCACACGCCTATTCGCTAACACTTCCCCGCACGGCAATATATTATGAAGAAATTTGTACATTACCTCCCGTACCCCGGCCCTCAATCGTAACTTCGTCAGACGTCCCCAAATATCATGCCATGCATACATCGGAAATACGCCCTCTACTCTAGCCACCCCCTCCCTACCTCCCACCAATGCCAATTTTCCAATCTTGATCCTACATGGCTCCCTTGCATAAGTTAATACCCTCAACATGTTCTCGCATCTTTTAAGATCCCCGCCATTCACCCAACGTACCAAATCCCTTCGAATCCCTGTCAAACCTGTACCTGCCCCCCGACCCTCCCTCAAATAACTATGTTTTACATACATACCTAACATTCGCGTATGCAGGTTCATTAACCCCAGTCCACCCCGACGAGTCGGCAAATACACAACATCTCTCGCTAACCAGTCACTTCCAGAACCCCAGAGATATCGAAATACACGCTTCAATAACTTTTTCTCATCGCACTGGACTAACGGATACAAACTTACCACATGCCACAACTTACCAAACAAAAGCACATTCGCGACGATTGCACGCTGATGCAAAGATAAGCTCCCTGCACGCAGTCCCGCCAATCGTCCTAAAACCCTATCCACAGCCTTTCTAGAATTAACCTTCCTCGCTTCCTGAATATTCCTCATATGGATGATCCCACATACCTTAATTTTGTTAACTAAAGACCAACCTTCCTCCTGACCTAAGTCCCCCCGGATATAATCCCCCACACGCATAGGCATGGACTTTTCCTTATTAACCGTCATCCCCGTTGCTCTCCCGAAAAGATCCACCAATTCACCCACTTTTCGTAAATCCTGTGATCCCCTGTATAAAATCGTAGTGTCGTCCACATATCCTACGATTCCTGCATTTACCCCCACCCCCCTCGCCTCTCACTCTCATTTACACTCCCCTGTACAGCCCTGAAAAAGGGGTCCTAAATTAATGCAAACAGAATCTGCGACACAGGACACCCCTGTCTCAAACCCCTTTGCATTCCAACTAATTTCCCCAACCTGCCATTTACCTGTACCTTAAACGTAGCTTGCTCATACAAAGCCATTGCCCAGTTTACTATTTCTTTCCCAAATCCTTTCCACTGCATAACTTTCCACAAAGTTTCACGCTCCACACAATCGTATGCCGCGTGCCAGTCCAGAGCCAATATTCACCCTGCCTTACCCTTCCAACTTTCCTCAATAAACCTACGTATTATGCCTTGACCCACACACATCGATCTCCCGGATATCCTATATTACCCTTCATCCAATACCTTCTCCAACACCCTCTTAATCCTATTACCTAGCATTTTTGCAAAAATTTTATAATCGCCACACATTAATGATATCGACCTATAGTTATGTATACAGTTTCCCGACGCCTTTTTCGGAATCATAACCACAACACCTGTTTTTTGTTGTACCCCGAGGCGTCCACTATCTTTCATAGTATTAAATAAAACCACTAAAAATTCACGGAGACATTCCCAGTTTTCCTTATAGAAATCACATGGGATACCATCGATCCCCGGTGATTTCCCAGCGTTCACACTCTCAACAGCTATTCTAACCTCCTCCTCACTTATAGGTCCATTCAAATTCATTCGATCCTTATTCTTAAGATCGAAACATACCCATTCACCCATGTCTCCTATTACTTCTTTTGAAATTCCCACTTTTTTGTATTGCGCTTCATACCATGCATCTACATAGCATCCCATGCCCTCAATGGACGTAATGAGTTGTCCCCTACGATACGTTCCCAATTGCTCCTGAACTTCCAATTCCATTATTTCTGTCGCCCTCCGACGCTTGCCCTGCTCCCTTAAAACAAACGCCGAAGGACGATCACCCCATAATACCTCATTTATACCACTCGCTATCCGGGCCGCATCAAAGTTATGATTGTGGATATCCCCAATTAGTTGTTTTAAACTTTCAATTTCCGCCACCGGATACACCCCCCTGCCATTCACATAACATTCCTGCAGTTGTCCTTCCAGATAGTGCAAAAACCCATATTGCATTCTCCGTTCTTCTACACCACTCTTCTGATAGAAGTCCCTCACCTTCCTTTTTCCGATTGTGTCCCACCATTCAATAACGTCATCCCCTACCCGACATTCATTCCACCAATCGTTCCACACTCTCGCAAATGACTCCCTTAAACCTCTTTTATGCATTAACCCAACATTCAATTTCCAGAAACCCCTAAAACGCCTTGGTAATCCCACCCAATCCACATCCGCCATAACTCCTCTATGATCGGAGTAACTCACATTTAAAGCTCAAACATTTCGGACCTTAATTCCTCTAGAAACATATATTCGATCCAATCTCGCTACATACTCCTTCCTTATAAACGTGTGCAGTCCCCCCCCTACCTCATCCCCCCCCCACATCCATAACATTCACACTCCTCAGTAAATCCCCTAAAAACCCTGAAAAAAATACCCCATCCTATAGGCTCTACATCTTTGCGACGAACAATGCAATTCCAGTCTCCCCCAATAATCGTTACGCCTGGCAGCGACCTTAAATGGTACACCAAAACGTCCCTAAAAAAAACGTTTTTAATACGCATATCACTTTCCGCTGGCCCGTAAACACCAATGAATCCCACTCGCACCCCACTCCATGCCCCAACCACCCGCACAACCCTCCCCTCCTCTCCAACCTCACATTTTTGTAAAGAAAACGGGCTGACTTCTTTTATTAACACTGCCACACCTTTCAATCTACTAGAACAACCCATGTACACAACATAATTAGGAATTATCAATTCCCCTAAAGATTTATAATTATGTTCCTGTAAAAACACTACATAAGGAACGTATTTCCTTAATAGCATCTCCAGACATTTGTGCTTATTAATCGACTCTAGTCCGTTAATATTTAAAGTAATGCACCTGAAGATATCATTGGCGGTTTGCCCTTAGATATCTTTACATTCGTAACGCCTTTGCGGCACTCCCCACTTCTTCCCCCACGCCCCCCAATGCCTTCTCCTTTCTCATGCTGAACACTTTTAGATCCACCCGTATCTCGACGGGTCTCGTCTGTCCATGCTTTTTTCCCAGATCTTTGGCCAGGAGTTAAGACATCGTCACTATCCATTATCACCGCAGCCCTCTTGCGGCAACTACGATCAATGATCATATCGTCCTCTGAACTATTATCCCTGTGTACCTCCACAATGACAACCTGCTGTTCCGCAACCGGCCCTATGTCACCTCCTTCCTCCTCCTGTGTGCTTGCATCCTCCATTCCTCCCTGATTTCCATCGTACGCCGAAGCATCTAACAAAACATTCAAAGCCTCTTGAAGGAATGCCTCCATAATATCCTGGGGAGGTACGGATACCTCCTCTGATATCGCCGACACCAAGCCTTCGTTTTCCCCTACGCCAGGTAGAGTCAAACAAACAGGTGACTCCTCTTGTTCCCCCTCGACCTCCTCACTCCACGATTTCCCAGTCGAAGATGCACGATGTGTGGCCACAGCGTATGACTGTGGCGCTGCTGCCCCATCTATCCTCGTTGCAACCTCTGTTCTTCCATGCCTAGTAGGGCATTGTGCTGCAATGTGATCGTACGTCCCACAAAGCCTGCACGTACGCTTTGACCTGAATACGTTACATATACTTGCGTTCGGAAGTCCTCCATGACCACATATGACGGTATCGGGTGTTTAAGGGACATTTTCATAGAAAACGACCCTTCTGGCATACCAACAAGGGGACCGTCACGCCATCGTCCCAATGTCGCCATATGCACAGTACCATACCGTTCAAACACATTCCGTAAATCGCATTCGTCCGCCTCAAACGGAACATTGCGCACTTCCACCCAGGTGTAATAACGAGAGACATCTCGAAGACGAACAGTAACACCAGGGTTGACGGTTTTCAGCACATCCTGGTACTTAGCCACCATGTTTTCAAAAGTGGCGCCTTGTCTGAACTTGACGAACAATCTTGAATTGCCATTTAAAGCTACTCCATAAAGATCTTCATTAGCAATCCCATACGTGTCTCTGAGGATCGCCGTCAACAGTAGATGAGTATTCTGACTATTAAGTAAGCCAGTCACTAGGTCCAGGCAAACAATGTTGACGCGCCTGCGTCCTCCCTCCGCCATCGTGAGTAGACTGGAGAAAACTGCGCAGAGACTAGACTAATCAGGAGCCACCGCGCAGCCTGTCCGCACGGCCCAAGAGCGATGCAGACAATGAGTAACCTAACCTTATTATAACAAGCGCAGTTTAATATAGCCTAATCCAACTAAATATATTTTAGATAAGTTTACAATAATTTAATTACATATTAGTTAAATGCTATTCAAGGGAGATCAAATAGGGAGAAACCATAGCGGGATGTACCTTTCTCGGACCCTAGAAGTAGAGCCCAAGAGGAGGTCATAGCAGGATTTAGGGAGGCGGTCACACAGAGGAAGTTGTCATAGCCTCATTAGGTGTCCCATAGCCCAATTGCTAGTGCACTCAGTTACACAGTGAGGTCTGGGGTGTGGAAAATACTGTATATATTTAATAACATTTATGTCATAGAAAATGGGAAACTGAGCCTGGAGAGAAGGGACAGTCGCCATTTTGTTTGAATTGAATAACACGTTGTGAATAATGGGAAGAATTTTTCGTGCTCTAGAGGTTAAAATCGGGCTGACACCTCTCAAATAGGAGGCGAAATTGTTGGATGTGCATTCCTGCATAATTTGAGAATCAGGCGACAGGACAGGACAACTCCAGGAACCTCAGAAACGCTGTCTAAATTATGTTTAATTTCTGGCCAGTAAATTCTTCATAAATGTAGGCAAAAGGGGGGGTCCTGTACATGACACATTAATCTCCAGTCAAATTGGTGAGTGTTATGATTAAGATATTTTCCTTCTGTTATGTAAATGTGTTTATATATAATCCTTTTTTTAATTTTAATATACAGTCCACAAATTTATATATTTACCAGTATTCCTGGAGATGTATAATTCATTTAATTAATAGGTCCAGAGCAACTTGTGGATATGACAGTGGTAGGTATCGAAGAGGGACATTTTTTGCGACCTAGGTGTCCCAAATTCCTACTTGTCTAACTTATAAATAATAATTATCTATGTTCATGTGTATTAACTGATTGGTGTGAGTCGCATCCTGGGGGCAAAATTGACCTTATTTGTCCGAAATGCTGCTCATAATAAGCTTTTTTTTATATAGTAGTATGTCATTAATGTTAACTAGGCTTTTATTTGTTATACATGTACTTAGAGAAACAAAGATTATTATTATTATTATTATTATTATTATTATTATTATTATTATTATTATTATTATTATTATTATTATTATTATTATTATTATTATTATTATTATTTGAGGAGGTGGCCACACAGCTGAGGTGGTCATAGTGAGATTTGGGGAGGTGATCATACAGAAGAAAATTCTACTACTCAGCTTACATACAGAAGTACATTGTATGACCTACCAACAGGTGCTGGTATCTACACAACTTACATATACAAGTACATTGTATGACCTACCAACAGGTGCTGGTATCTACACAACTTACATATACAAGTACATTGTATGACCTACCAACAGGTACTGGTATCTACACAACTTACATATACAAGTACATAGTATGACCTACCAACAGGTGCTGGTATCTACACAACTTACATATACAAGTACATTGTATGACCTACCAACAGGTGCTGGTATCTACACAACTTACATATACAAGTACATTGTATGACCTACCAACAGGTGCTGGTATCTACACAACTTACATATACAAGTACATTGTATGACCTACCAACAGGTACTGGTATCTACACAACTTACATATACAAGTACATTGTATGACCTACCAACAGGTGCTGGTATCTACACAACTTACATGTACAAGTACATTGTATGACCTACCAACAGGTGCTGGTATCTACACAACTTACATATACAAGTACATTGTATGACCTACCAACAGGTGCTGGTATCTACACAACTTACATATACAAGTACATTGTATGACCTACCAACAGGTGCTGGTATCTACACAACTTACATGTACAAGTACATTGCATGACCTACCAAACAGGTGTGGTATCTACACAACTTACATATACAAGTACATTGTATGACCTACCAACAGGTACTGGTATCTACACAACTTACATATACAAGCACATTGTATGACCTACCAACAGGTACTGGTATCTACACAACTTACATATACAAGTACATTGTATGACCTACCAACAGGTACTGGTATCTACACAACTTACATATACAAGTACATTGTATGACCTACCAACAGGTGCTGGTATCTACACAACTTTCATATACAAGTACATTGTATGACCTACCAACAGGTACTGGTATCTACACAACTTACATATACAAGTACATTGTATGACCTACCAACAGGTGCTGGTATCTACACAACTTACATATACAAGTACATTGTATGACCTACCAACAGGTGTTGGTATCTACACAACTTACATATACAAGTACATTGTATGACCTACCAACAGGTGCTGGTATCTACACAACTTACATATACAAGTACATTGTATGACCTACCAACAGGCGCTGGTATATACACAACTTACATATACAAGTACATGGACATTGTATGACCTACCAGCAGGCGCTGGTATATACACAACTTACATATACAAGTACATTGTATGACCTACCAACAGGTGCTGGTATTAACACAACTTACATATACAAGTACATTGTATGACCTACCAACAGGCGCTGGTATATACACAACTTACATATACAAGTACATTGTATGACCTACCAGCAGGCGCTGGTATATACACAACTTACATATACAAGTACATTGTATGACCTACCAACAGGTGCTGGTAACTACACAACTTACATATACAAGTACATTGTATGACCTACCAACAGGTGCTGGTATCTACACAACTTACATATACAAGTACATTGTATGACCTACCAACAGGTGCTGGTATCTGCACAACTTACATATACAAGTACATTGTATGACCTACCAACAGGTGCTGGTATCTACACAACTTACATATACAAGTACATTGTATGACCTACCAACAGGTGCTGGTATCTGCACATCTCCCCAACACACAACAGCAGACAATGGAAACACCATCCACCATATACTCGTCATCCTCTTTACTAAAACACTGCAAAGAAAAATAAAACTAGATGTATGACAATCGCTGTTTGATCCAGGAAAGTTTCCTGT